TATATATATATATATATATATATATATGACTATGAGCGATCAAATACAAACCACCTCAACTTGTACAAACCTTACAAACTAATTACAACCAATCATATAAATCCATTTGTTTTTTTTTTTTTACAATTTATAAGGGTATTATGGTCATTTGAATTTACAATAGTTATGTTTGATAATTATTTAATATTAATAGATAAGTTTGGTAAGAACATAAATTTATATAAATATGGATGATATATTGATTAGCACAATATTAGCAAAGATTTAATTGAGGTATCTATTAATTTTTTTAAAAACAAATCGCCACATTTTAAAAAATGTAGAATAATTTTGTTTAAAAAAATACCACTAATTTCCAATGAAACAAGCTCAAACTGTTTAATAAAACAAGGTCACATATGATTGCATCAGGTTCATATGTATAACAGTTTGTAATAGATCTCTATTCCTACAGCGTTTTTGTCAATGAACCCGTTTATAAGTAGGCATTGCTAAAGTCAAACTGATAGTGGTAGCGTATAACTATGTTTGTCAACCAAGTTTGTTTAATGGTTGTAATGTGATTAGTTAGTGGGGAAAAAGTGATTCGGGAGTCAAAAGAGTTGTTTGCCTCACCAATCAAATAGACGAGAAAACGATCTTCAAGTTGCGGTACAGAATCATATGTATAATAGCTGTAATGAAACAGGTTCATAGGTCATATATGATTGCATCAGGTTTATATGTATAAACAATTGTAATGAAACAGGTTCATAGAACATGTTTTCCCCGTTTTGCCCTTTCATGTCTTCGATATGAATTTTTTTTTTACTTTACTTATCTAGTTTGTTTCAATCCTGGTCTTTTATCAAAAAATGGATGGATGTGATTTGTTTGTAAGATTTGCATGAAATGGATGGTTTGCAAAGTAAACCATATATATATATATATATATATATATATATATATATATATATATATATATATAGGGGCCTAATTAGTTTGTGGTAACCCTGAAGTTCGATCTCAACCACAAATCAATAGATAAATTATAAAATTTATAATTTTTGGTAATTTTGA